TAGAGCAAATAATGCCTTTTTTTTATGAAGATAATTATAAAACATTGAAAATGAGATAAATCTTTCAAATTTTAAACCAAATCTCTCGGCTCTATAGCCTTCATGTGGATTCTAAAATGGCCATGCATACAACTAGAACTAAAACCCTGGATTAAAACAATTGTAAACCTACCTTGTTGATTTGGCTGAGCTTGAACAGTATGTATAATGGCGAAAACCCTGAAGATCATCACCAGTAGCAATTTGCGATGACATTCCATTTTCAAGTTAACATACAAACTTTTGACACGAAAAATTATATGTATATATGAGGGAATATATTGATATTCCAATACGAAAATAAATACTATTTTTATTTTATTTTTTGTAAAAATCTACATGTTGGTGTGGAAATTTCTTGAATTAGTCTGTTCATGTTAATTTTCTTACCACGTCTCAACTGGTCTATATATATATATAAAAAAAAATTATAGTGCAAATTGTAGGAAAATATAAATATTATATAAAAGCACCTAATGTTGTTTTTTGCTTAAACAATGTAAAACCTGCCAAGTTGATCTATTCTCAAAGTTCCGTAACTACATATGATAATACCGCCAACGACTTCTATTTATTTAACAACAACTATATGGATTTAATATTTCTGTTGACTTTCGCTTTATACGTTATCGCAATAATTGGTCTTCAAAAATAAGCAAAGATGTAATCCCCTTCAGATACCCAAAATATTCATTTAAACATTTAGGCCTTGCTATATAAAAACCTTACTTCTTTCCACTGCAGTTTTGGTAACATGCATGTTTACTATGATGATTAGGATCTAAAAATTAATAGTATTAAATATTAATCTTAAGAAATTTTTTGACACATTTCATGAAAGGATTCATTTTCCAATGATTAAATTTCACATGTTCTAATAATGAATCCAAAACAAATTTTAAGCAACTTTTGATTCATAAGACCATGAACATATTAAAAGCGTATATCTTGTTGATTCTGGGCTTTGAACATATCCAGTTTTTCCTTGGGAAAAAGAGAGAGAGTCAAAAACTGCTATCTGGAATATATGAGCAACACCTCTCAGGACTCAGGGCAATATAATAAAGACTTTAGAACCATTCTGAAAACAACTGCCAATTTTCTTTTAAAAAAATGTAATAATTTTTTTTTTATTTTTCCACTTTGTCGCTTGCGAATTTAAACTTCGAATTTTCCCTTTGCGTCAGGTTTTTACCGCCAATATATAGAAAGAGCTGTTGATGCGTTGATCATGTCAACCATTGTAATTGTCACATGACCATAACAACTGAATAAGCGTTGAAACGGCGAGATGCCAATTTGTTAAATTCTATTTGAATAATATAAAAGATCTGTAGTTATCCTAATCATGTAAGGCTGAAAATTATAAACCCTAAAAAAGTATGGCTAAAACAACAAGCATCATTTTTAGGATTACAAAGCTTAATTATCCAATCTCCATAATAATAAAAAAAAATCCAATATGCAATAATAATATGTTGTAGAATTTAAAAAGATCAATTTGCTGCACACAATTTCAACGATACAAATTTTCAGATTCACAAGCAGCCCACAATGACTATATTTTCATTTGGGGAACTAGCGTGCCTTGGGGATCACCTCAGTGCCAAAGTTCATGCTTACTTCAATCGAACCCTTTGAATCCATATCCACACTCCCTCCTTTCCTTGAAGTCTCGTATGTAAGACAATCTTTTAGGTCATTTACCACTCGAGACATGTTTGGTCTTTTTGCTGAAGAAGGATTAACACAAGACATGGCTAATTCAAGTGCCTTCCAGACTGAACCGCTGTCATAATCGTGCTGAAGGTTTGGATCTATAATACTTCTAATATCACCTTTCCGAAGCATAAGCCCAACCCATTCTACTATGTGAGTTTTTTCACGTGCATGCTGGATTATAGGGCGGTTTGTTATGATCTCAAGTAGTACAATTCCAAAACTATAAACGTCACTCTTTTCACTCAGCCAATTAGTTTGATAATACCTACAAAAAAAACATGAGAAAAAACCACATTCACCAACATTAACTACTTAAAGAAATGGGAAGTTGTAAACCTATGGAATTTCATAATACTCACTCGGGATCAAGATATCCAGGAGTGCCAGCAACAACGGTAGAGACATATGTCTCATTGGCGGTGGGGAAAGATCTTGAAAGTCCAAAATCAGCTAGCTTAGCTTGGAAATGTTCGTCCAATAGAATGTTTGAACTTTTGACATCCCTGTGAACCATTGCCGGTTTGCACCCCGTGTGTAAATACTCTAATCCTGCATAATAATTTGATTTATGTTAATAATATCTAGGCATATATGAATAATTGAATACACTTCAAAGCTTAACATTTGCATGCTCCAATATTATAATGCTTATTCATAAGGCAAAGATAAATGAATGATTAAGAATAGTTTAAAATGTACCTTGTGCGGAATCCACAGCTATTATTAGTCTAGTTTTCCAGCTCAAGACAGATCCACTCCATTTCCCTGTTTTAATCCAATATAAACATCGTTTAAAAGCATTTCAGTATTAATACAATGATTTTTTTTCCAACGAAAAGCCTAATTCATTATTACTCAAATCACTACATAGATAATGTTATTTTACCCGACAAATGTTGTTTTAGGTCTCCATTGGACATGTACTCGTAGATGAGACCTAAATGCTCTCCTTCATCACAATATCCAACAAGGTTCACCAAATTTATATGGTGAACTCTTAGAAGAAGTTCCACCTAATCAACCACTCATAAGCTTATTAATTAATTAACATATATATATATATATATATATATATATATATGTATGTATTTTTATTATTCTAGGACAAGTACCTCTGCCTTGAATTGCTTGTAGCCTTGAGCCGATGATTGGGAGAGGACTTTAACAGCTATTTGTTCGGCACCATTTAAAAGACCATGATAAACAACGCCAAAACCTCCTTCCCCAAGAACCCGTTCAAAGTTATTTGTCATGGTTGTAACCTCATCATAAGTAAACCTTCTGTTTTTCGTGAGAAATGAAGGTTCTGATTCATAAGAATCTCCACCATCTTCTACTGGTCCACTTTTTGTGGGTGTCTTATCTACATGATTTAGAGTTTCATAATCAACTCAACCTTAGATATTTTAGTTCTTTAAATTTTAAATGTTAGTACGCTGACCTGAAGAAACCTTTTTCTTCCGGAGCACGAAAATGAGAAGCGGGACGACTATGATAACAAGTAAAGAAGCTATTGATGCAACAATCGGTACTAGGAATTTCTTTTTTTCCTTTTCAATGCACGAACTAATGCTGCATAGGTCTGGATTCCCTTCAAGGCTATAGAAAGATTACAAGCGGAAAAAGTTTCATGTCAGTTACTCAAAATTGTTGCATTAAGTGATCAAAACGATATTTACTTGTAGAATCTTACATTAACAAAAGTCCATTTTTTTTTCTATCAAGAAGGGCTTGAGGTACTGAACCACTTAATTTGTTCTTGCTTAAGTTTCTGTTAGGCCAAAAAAAGAGAGGACATTTATAATTATAAACACATAATGAAAACGTTAGGATAAGTTCATTATACTTCTGAACAACTTACATGACCAACAATGATTTCATCTTCGCAAGATATATAGGCACTTCTCCGGTCAAGGTGTTATTAGACAAGTCCCTGATGTTTGTAGAATTTAGTCCAAAATATTATCATTTTGTACTATATGGTTAATATGCGAATTGTGTGTATAAACTCACAATTCTTGAAGTTGTGTCAGATTTTGTATACTTGGTACTATGCTCCCGGTCAATCCCTGTGATGACAAGTTCCTAATAATATCATAAAATCACTTAAAACGTTAGATAACTATTTGAAGACAGTTTTAGATTGTGTTCTGAATTTAACTTACAAGGACGTTACTCTTGGTGGACTGGAATTTTCTTTGTACGTGCATTTTAGATGTTCCCAGGAAACGTCTGGTGGAACACATGGATCGCCTTGCCAACTGATTTTAGTTAGCCTATAAGTGTCTTTGATATTCTTGATTACCGCAACTGACATGAAAATTGGATGATGTAAAAATTAGACAAATATACAAGTGTAGACCTAACGTCAACTAAAAAGTAAGACTTAACATCAAATTAAATAGTGGAACTTCGGTTGACTACCATCACTTTGGTTAGTTTCCGCAAATGGAAACTCAATGATACTGAAAGCCTCAATAGCGTTGATCAGAGGTGGAAGAGTTGATTTCTTCGTTCTTTCTAGCCGCAATGAGCAGAACCCTTCAGGGCATTGTACTGCTGAAAAGGTTATAGTACGTTGCTCTAACTTGGGCGGACTAAAAGCTGAATAGTTAGAGTTTCCGTTGAAGTAAATGTCGAATTCCCTGGTTTCGTTGGCTTGTAAGACTTGTATCTCGGCAAAGTGAATGTATACGTAAACTGCAGCAGTGGGGGGTATAGTTGACCAGTAGATATATAATGGCAAACTGTCATTCAAAGGGGTTGCTGCTGTCGCTAGTACAGGTTTTGGTGTTTCATAGATTCCGGGATTGCTTATACTGAGGGTTGTGTTTATTACACGCCATTCTTCATATTCTTGATCGTATGGAGACCAAATACGATCATGTAGATCATGCGGATACCTGCAATAATCTTGTATTAGCCATATTATTGATTCAGACGGTTGGGCTATTGGGCAATGATCATTTATGTTGAATATATTTTAATCATTTAAGTATAAATTGCACTTAGATCGTTTTACAAACTCATAAACGAAACTCTATCTAGATACAAAAGCTGAGTTAGAAACAAAAAACATCTATATGTTGAATCTAGACATTAATCTGTCTGACTATTGATGCAACAAAGGTTTATAATATAACAAGAAATATAGCGTTAATATATAACTACTAAATTAGTATATTAATATAGATTATAAGGGGAACAATTGAAATACAAATGGCATGTTATATGAGTGAACAGAAGCCTACTTAGAGTGCATAATCATTTAGATGTCAGAAGAGTATTTTAGTCATAAGTGTATCTTAATAACTTGTATACGACTTATTTTCTCTTAAGTACCTTTCTAAAAACTTTCCCAATATTTATTTTTGAAGGAATTTTCCCTTTATGATAGATAAGTCTTATGTAGTGTCCACAACAATCACATACAAACAATATAGGACAATCAGCCATTATGGAAAAACAGTCAATTTCGTCCAACTCTTCTCGTGCATTTAGATACAAAATATAATCCAGCTCTACACACACACACACAAAAAAAAAGGAAGAAGAATAACTTCTACCATGTAGTATCATAAGAAATCTTAAATGCTGTTTTTTTCCATCTTTTATTTTTTAATTACTATACAATATGGTGTCAATTAATTCAAAATTTAAACTTCATTGTTCGTTTTTAATTTCTTAAATTACTATAAACTAATTTAGGAAACATACAATAGTATTTCGTCAAATTTGAGATTCATTGTCTTCCTCCTCAAAATAAAGTTTTTGTTTGGTCAATCACATCTTAGATCAATTATGATCTAAATGTTGGACGTACGGCAAGGGTAGCATGTAAAAGTTTATTAATACTACTTAGAAATGAGTGAAGTAACCTACAATTGTTTAATAAAAAAGAATTGTTAAAAAGTTTATTTGGTCAACTCTCAGTTAACCTCTATATAAAAAAAAAAACTATAATTGTTAATTCATAATAGTGAATTAACATATAATTTTTGAAAAGTTTATTTTGTCAATTGTGAATTAAACTATATTTGTGTAGTTCATAAATGTAGCAACATAATAACAATGTAAAGTCAACTGAAGTAAAATTAAAAGTTACGAAAAATCATTTGGGAAAAATGTCAAAAAATTCGCGAACTTTCAAATTTGGGACGAAAAAAGCATGAACTTTCGAAATGTCATTTGAATCATGAAGTTTAGGTTGACTTTTTGACAAAATAGTGAAGTTTAATTTGACTTAGCCATTTCGGGCATGCCGTTAAATTTCCATTAACCAAACGATAACGGTGTTAAATTTCCGTTAGATTTCTCCGTTGAGTCCAAACGACGTCGTTTTGAAACTCTGAAACGACGTCGTTTCATTAGAAAATAAGATGAAAAAACTGCATCTGTCGGGAATCGAACAGCTGACCTACTTGACTAATGAGAAATGCCCAACCGTTGCGCTACGATAACATTTTGGTATTATACCAAACCGAACATATATATACTAACAAATAACTATGTACAATTAATTAAAACAATATACAATTTATTAACAATAACAAAACTAAAAAAAAATAACCAAACATATACAAATATTAAATATACTTCCATAAATATATATTTTGATATTTTTAAATATTTAATTTTATATATAAAGATTTCTTCTTTATTTGGAAAATTGTTTTTTTGTCCTAAATTATAAAAAAACAAAAATGAAACTTATAGAATATAGTAAATTAAATATATGACAAAAAATTTATACAATCTTTCTCACATAAATATAAAATTTATACAATTCTTCTCACATAAATATAGGATCAAAGATTGTATAAATTATAGGAATAAAGATTTTATAAATTATAGGATTATAGGATTGTAAAAATTTCAAAAATATATATTTATGGAAGTATATTTAATATTTGTATATGTTTGGTTATTGTTTTTTAGTTTTGTTATTGTTAATAAATTGTATATTGTTTTAATTAATTGTACATAGTTATTTGTTAGTATATATATGTTCGGTTTGGTACAATACCAAAATGTTATCGTAGCGCAACGGTTGAGCACCTCTCATTAGTCCAGTAGGTCAGCTGTTCGATTCCCGACAGATGCAGTTTTTTCATCTTATTTTCTAATGAAACGACGTCGTTTCAGTGTTTCTAAACGACGTCGTTTTGACTCAACGGAGAAATCTAACGGAAATTTAACACCGTTATCGTCTGGTTAACGGAAATTTAACGGCATGCCCGAAATGGCCAAGTCAAACTAAACTTCACTATTTTGTCAAAAAGTCAACCTAAACTTTATGATTTAAATGACATTTCGATAGTTCATGCTTTTTTCGTCCCAAATTTGAAAGTTCGCGAATTTTTCGACATTTTTCCCAAAATCATTTCAGTGCATCTGGGCAAATGTAGCCCTGGGTAAAATACCCGTACTATAAGTACCAAATCGGAACTAAATTGAACCGAAAAAATACGAACCCAACCGAACCAACATAAATACTCGAATGGATTATAGACTCTAGAATCGAAAAAACCAGAACCAAACCAAAATATTTTGGTATCCAAAATACAATTATGTACATAGAAGTATAATAACTTATTTAGATTGAATAATTGAATAATTGAAAACTATCCGATTATCTGAACCAAAAAATATATGAACATACTCAAAATATTGAAAATATCCAAAAAAATTTGATTTCTACTCAGTTCTTCAGTTGATTACCTAAACCAAACCGATTTTTTTCCGGAATCTATGTAAATCCTAAACTCTAGAACCAAAAGAACTAAAACCGAATGGAACGAACCAAAACCGGCCCAAATGCCCAGGGCTAGTATCTCCTATGGATGCTTCAAGGAAGAGTAAGAAAAAAACCGAACTTACCTGATATTGCTAGATGAATCGTTGAAAAAATACCGTAAAGTACTCAGCGAACCAGGACGAGGGCCATATGTATTGTTTCCAAATGGGCGTATTTCAATGGCTGATATCAATGGAAATGATGTCCCTGTCTTGACAAGACACATATCCAAAGAACTTGATCGTGGTATGTGGATCATACCAACCCATGTACCGTTTTTATATTTATCCAAATCGATTGTCTCCCACCTATTAGGACCAAGATAGAGATCGAAGTTCGGGTAAGTATTAGTACCATCGTAGTTTCCATAAAAGAACATGGCTCCAATTAGATAAGTTGTGTCACGCGTGACATTGAAAGTGTAACAGTTTCGTAGTCCTTCTGGAAAGTATCTCATAACCAGATATGGTTTTATGTGTAATTTGTCAAAAGCTTTATCGACTCTGCCGCTCTTTCCCGTCTGGATGAGGGTCGAATCTGATGTGAATACTAATCCACTATCTGGATCAGTATAAGGGGATTCTTCAAAGGGCATGCCACAATCCAAAGTGATGAATCCTGGTCAAAGATAAAAAGAGAATGCTGGAAAAAAATAAACAAAATACATAAAATTATATTGATAACTAAGAAAAATCAGATTACCGTCTTGATTCTGTGGTTGAACACGGTGTATAATGGAGAAGATCTCAATCATAGCCAATATCAAAAATAGACTTTTCATTTTCTGTCAGTTTCTAGTTCATGCTTGCGAACGAGCAAATACCTCTTATGGGCATTCGCGCGACATCCAGAAATGTCAACGCTGCCAAAAAAAGAAAGAATGAGTAAACGATATAATATTGTGTTGTATAAAACTACGTGGGTGGATTGCGATATTGGTTCCAATCTCATTCTTGCTATGCTCTTTATTGTAATCTTTGCAAAAATTTCTCTTGGTTATTCGGCATGATGTTGTATTTATTGTAAAATAGTTTTTTTTTGGTGAATATAATTTTACATTCATACAAAAATAAAAAACTACGTGGGTGTTTGACCAAATAAAAAAAACTACGTGGGTATCCACACATTTGAGCAAGTTTTCAATCATTCAGTGTTTCCCTCTACCATTTGGGCAAATTATGGGAAGAATTACATGTATCTGCTGTGTATCTTATGACACAAAAAATTTAACACATACTATATACTAAAAGGGTGTTTTTAAGAGAAAATATTTAGTATGTACTTAATTACCTAGTATGCCATTACAAATAGCCAAACATATTAAATTAAGAAAAGATATAATTGTCTTTTAAGCGATCCAGGAGCAGTGTACTGTAGTTAGCGGCCGTGATAAGCATATCAGTGGTGGCCCTGGGGACTGGCGAGTCCCTAGCTCTAGTGATCTTAAGAACTTATCTTATCAAATCTTTATAACTTCTTAATTCATTAGCTTATCTTAGTTCATACTAACATTGTCTACTTAATCTCCTAACTTTATAACTACCTTCTAAAAATGTATGAACAAATGTGCCATAGCATTTTAGTGGTGTTACCTTGCAATTTCTTTGAAATCTTCTGTAAAATAATAAAAAAAAAACCCAAATCGACCACACTATATATAAAAATAAAATAAAGAACCATGAAAAAAGAAGCTGAAATGTTTAAACCAAAACCAAAAAGAATTTGTTTATAATATTATTCGTTTCATTAATTAATAATTAAAAAAAAAAGCTGAAAGCAAACTCGAACGAAAACCACTTCAACAATTAGGAAAAAAAAAAGATGCGAATCTGAACCAGAACCAAAATTAAATTTAGCATACTTGTTTACTAAAATCAAACTGAATCCAAACCAAATATCAAACCAAAATAAGTCCAAAGTTTGCTAAAAAAACGAATTACAAATAGTTTTTGTATCGCTCTTATTTTTTTACCAATAATCACAATTATTGCAGTAGACAAAAGAAAAAGAACAAAATTAAACGAAATCAAATCATAACCAAATTTTTTATTCGAAAGTAAAACCAATATATATATATATATATATATATATATATATATATATTACCTAGTATTTTTTATAATAAGTGTGAAGGGTTCCAAACATCAATGAGTATCTTTTAACCAAAGTTAACCACAAAGAGGTTCAAACAAGAAACAACGGCTCAAAATAATTTTCTTCATCTTTTTTATTTTCATTGTTTTTTTATTTTTTGGTTTATGTGAAAATAAATTTGTTAAGACGCAAAAAGAACAGTAAATATGATTAGTGATCGTTTTTTGCAGCATGAATTGAGAAACATGTTTCCTTAGTACTTTAGGCTTTCGCTTACAACTTCAGCAAATAAATTGTTAAATTAAATTTGAGAGTAAAATGTGCATGAGATCATTCCAAAAACGTCCACTACAAGAAAAATGCACATTCTTAGCTCCAAGTAAGATGAAAATGTAATTGTGTCTTATACCAAGGCCATTGCGAATGTTTCTAGGTTATTGCATGTGGTAGGAATGTGCTATGTTACGAGAGAACTATAAGTGCCACTCCCCACAACTATGCAGCAAAAGCGTTATGACCAAGAGTGGATGTATGTATTCAGAAATCTGAGAGGCCATAACGAAGAAAATACAAAATCAATAACGAGACGGCATGCGATTTAGCGAGGTACATCTTCGTTGTTTTAAATTCGACCACTAATCATTGACTACAAAAATAGTTTATTAGAAATCAACAAAAAAAATAAAAAGATAGAAGTCACATTTATCTTATATAATGAGTAAGACAAAATGTTTTGTGCTCCTCACAGCCACATCAACCTCTTTCCAAGGATATCTACACAAACTCATTCTTGTGCTAACAACTTCCTTGTGTTCTAAGTAGACCGAAAAATATATATTTTTTGAACGAATGTAAAATTTATTAATATAAAAAACCGTTGTTACAACAAGACAGAAAATTTCGGTTCTTTGTAGTAGACTCATCCTTTTGCTATTCAAATAGTGCACTTGTAATGCTCATCAATTCTCCAACAATTCTTTCATTTATATACTATAAAGAAGAAACAAATAAATTACCGAGTACACTAGATTATTAATTTGTTAAATATAAGAACATAAAAATGAACTTCTCTTTTTCTCCACAATTTATCAGATTTAAACAATATTTTAATTTCTGTTTTCTTAAAACTGTACAGTATGGAAATGTAGGGGTAGAACGAACGGACACATTTGTTTCACGCTTATCAACCTATAGTTAAGGGTATTTTAAGTGTTTTATAATTCATGTATTTGTTTGTCCTGGATATCTCTCCTTTATTTATTCTTTAACTCCAAATGCTTTTGTTTAAAATCGGAAAAGGAGAAAAGGTTGTAAAACTCCGATTCGATAATAGTTGAAATTTTGACGTATTTCTTGCATTAAAGGTAAACTACTATAATCTATATTTTGTTTTTTCTTTTTTTAATCGTCCTCTATAAATGAGAACTGTTGTTCAAATCCTGACGTCTATTGGCCAAAGAGTTATGCAATAATACTAAGTAAGTCGAACAAATTTCATTAAAAAATGAGTAACCTAAGGAATACGTACGTTAGCCTTGGGTTTCTTGTTATTCTAAGATTATTTTTGTTACAGAAACGCCATTTCACCAGAACTATTAAGTTCAATATTATGTTGTAGGCACGTCTTTACTTGGATGCATACCACAAAAAAAGGCACGTCTCTACTTCCGGGTATTTGCTCCAAAAAGACAACTTGTTGGTTCTTATATTATTTACACAACATGGATATGTTTATCATCACTCCTCTGGAGACTTGGTCGAAGCTCTGAAGACTTAGATGGGAGATTATTTCACCACAAAATTTTTCGTGTTTGTTTTTTTTGTGTTATCTTCAAGAAATTTTCTTTGAACCCTTGTGTGTTGAATTAAAAATGGATGGCCATCACGGACTAAAACGGGCCCTGATCATGTTCACTTTCCTCGGTTTATATCTTGTTCAAGCTCAAGATCAACAAGGTATTCATTTACTAATGGTTATCACTTATAAATCAATCCTATAAGTATATATTGTTTTATTTTCAAAATATTTTAAAAACTTTATCCTGTTTCCATAATTAATTAGGATTGACATGTTTGATCTGGAGGACAAACTAATAACATATCTGTTTTATATATTTGTCAGGATTCATCAGCTTGGATTGTGGGTTACCCCCTAACCAGTCTCCGTATATCGAACCAAAAACGAAATTAAATTTCTCATCTGACGCTGATTTTATCCAAAGTGGAAAGCATGGTCGAATCGTGGATGTATGGCAACATACCTACCAACAGTATAATGCTTTGAGATATTTCCCAGATGGAATGCGAAACTGTTATAATCTGAGGGTCAACCAAGGCATCAATTATCTAATTAGAGCTGGGTTTGTCTATGGAAACTATGATGGCCTTAATAGATATCCAAAATTTGATCTATATATTGGGGCTAATTTGTGGACATCGGTGGATGCAAAAACCGTACAAGACAATGAGATTATTCACATGGCAAAGTCAAACTCCTTACAGATTTGCCTTGTCAAGACAGGAACAACTACACCTTTTATATCAACTTTGGAACTACGACCTGTAAGAAATGATGCTTATTCTACACAATCAGGTTCCTTGCAACTCGTATCTCGGGAATGGTACACGGAAGACATAATGACAATGGAGTTACGGTATGTTACTTTACTCTAAGCAATTTTCGTATGTGCCAAATTTTAAAGCTTTTACTTCATTTCTATTTAATTTTAACCATAACTATATCACACAAAGTTTAAAAATACATGTAATTAAAAACAGTAAAAAAAGTGTGATTCTCTGAAACACTTTAGAATTTTTAAAGGGGCATTTTCCCTTTTGCTACCCAATTTCAAAATATGCTTCATGTATTTCTCGATGGTTACTACTATCCGGAGACTCGATTCGAGTATTTATATGTTTTTATAAAGTTTTATCAGATATTTATAAGGTTTTGTAAAGAATTTATATAAGGTTTTATAATGTATCTATAAAATATTTATAAAGTATTTATAAGGTATTTATAACGTTTTAAACACGTAGAAAGATAGTTTTGTATGTTTTTAATGTTACACATGTATTTGGGTAGATCTCTAGCTTTTAGAAGCATTTTTAAGAAGGTTTTAGGGAGGGAGCATTTTTTGGAAAAGGACATTTAGAAAAGGACATTTAGAAAAGGACATATCTCAAATATTTCAATTTTGAAAATGGTTATAAGTAAAAAAAAAGGTACATAAAAAATAGTTATAAACTTATGACAAAGCGACACGACACTCCGAATTATTTTCTAGGAAACTGAGTATTTTTTTTCAACTTCAAAAGAATTTTTAAAATCTTTCATAAATTTTTAAAATAATAGGAACTTATTCACTTATAATATAATATATGTTTATAACCATTTTTAAATTAAAAAATCAATGTTGTTAAATTATGGATTCATTGAAGACTTAAAATGTTTAAATGAAAATTGTTGATTTCCATTTTTTTTTTAAGAAAAGATAGATTTAGAAAAACATGAGCGGTAAATAGATATATATATATATATATATATATATATATATATATAAATGACGAAGAATTATTATAAAAGTATTATCCATAAAGAAAAAATACAAAATAAAAGTTATGAGAAAAAGATTTGACATTTCAAAAACAATTATTTCACATTTATATTATGAAAAATAAAATGAAAAACGAATAAATTT